GCGCGTCGCACGGAAACCCGCGGGGGCGGGGCGGGGCCGGGGTGACTGGGCAGGCGCCGTACGCTGGAGGCCGAGACCCTTCCCGTTGATGGGGTCGTGGACTTCCCGGAACCTGACCCCCCACTTGACCTTGATCTTCACTGCAGCGCTGAGGAAATGCTGGGCGAATGACTTTTTTTTTAAGAGGAAGCTGAGGCTGTGGAGAAATCGTTTGCTTCTCTGCGGCTGTTTTAAATCGGCAGACCCTGGTTTTGCAGGAACCATACAATTTGTGGGAACCCCAGTAAGAAAAAAAAATACACCGGGAGCGCTTGGGTGGCTTAGCTGGTTAAGCTACCCACTCGTGATTCTTGATCTCAGTTCGGGTCTTGGTCTCAGGGTCCTGAGTTCAAGTCCCGCCTTGGAGCTTACTTAAAAAAGAAAAATACCCCAAATTATTCGCATAAATACACTTAGAATGAGAAATCACAAATGACACTTTGAAAAGTTAAAAAAAGCCACAAGCGTCACACACACAATGGTAAAGCATTTATTAACTTCCTGACACGCTTCTACAGGGTGTCCAAAAGTCCAGAAACACAATTATTTTGTTTAGAAGATGGAAAATGCCCTTGACAGCATTGCGTATATCTTACCTGTCTGTCTAGACTATGGGCACCATTTATGATCATTTTTCCCACGCTTTTTAGCTGCATGCTTTTTTTTTTTGGCTGCATACTTTTAATCACATTTTCCTACGACATTTTGTAATGTTTTTCTACAAAGAAAAGAGAAAGGTCAGTGTTCTTTTCAGTATGGTGCTCAAAAATTTTTTATTTATATTTCAGCTTCACAACTCTTTAGTGTTCTTAGTGTGGTTTTACAACTCATTAGGGTTCTTGGTGTGTTCTTTTTTTTTTTCTTTTAAGAATTTATTTATTTGACAGAGAGAGAGACAGCGAGAGAGGGAACACAAGAAGGGGGAGTGGGGGAGGGAGAAGCAGCCTTCCCAGACTGGATCCCACAACCCAGGACCCAGGATCGTGACCTGAGCCTAAGGCAGACGCTTAACAACTGAGCCATCCAGGCGCCTCTAGTGTGTACTTTTTAAAAGATTATTGTCAAATTTGGAACAACCTGTATCAGGTTGCTTTCACATATGAGCTAAAGTATTTTAGGGCCGTTTGGCTACTTCCGTGGCAATTTCCTGTATGGTTTTTACTCGATCCCCAGTGGTTTTCAGAACAAGATCTGTCTGCTCCCATTAAGATCAATAAAACAGGGTGCCTGGGTGGCTCAGTTGGTTAAGTGACTGCCTTCGGCTCAGGTCATGATCCTGGAGTCCTGGGATCGAGTCCCACATCGGGCTCCTTGCTCAGCAGGGAGTCTGCTTCTCCCTCTGACCCTCCCCCCTCTCATGCTCTCTCTATCTCATTCTCTCTCTCAAATAAATAAATAAAATCTTAAAAAAAAAAGATGAATAAAACATGTGACTACCTACATACAGACTCACTGAACTACAAATTTGTGTTCCATAAACGCAAGAATCATAATATATTCCATTTTGCATGATTCACATACAAACAAACATAAGCCTGGTACACTACAGTTGCATATATGACATTACTTATGTGAGAATCTCCACTTTAGGTTAGGGATTGAGAGACTTGATTCTGCCACTTACCATTTTTTACTCTTGATGGTTGGGAGGATTTTCTATGGACTAGTTTCTCCTTTTCTTTCACATCTTGTTTTCCCCTCCACCGCCCATGTATTTTCAGGGCTGGGCATCACAGAGCTCCTTTGCCCTCTGGCCCTGTGCCTTTGTGACATGAGTGCTGGCTGAGTTGGCATAATGGGCAGTAGGTGTATTTCAGAAAGCCATTCCTCCACCCATGGACGGCGCTGATTTAACAGTACGCGGAAATGACTGCAAATCACGTAAGTGCATGCCGCTAAGCCCCAGTTAAACGTATCCCTTCCTCCGGGCGCCTGGGTGGCACAGCTGGTTAAGCATCCAACTCTTGGTTTTGGCTCAGGTCATGATCTCAGAGTCATGGGAGCCCTGTGTTGGGCTCTGTGCTCAGCATGGAGTCTGCTCAAGACTCTCTCTCTCCCCCTCTGCTTCTCCCTCCCCCTGTGCTCTCGCTCTCTCTCCAAAATAAATAAATCTTAAAAGAAAAATGTATCCCTTAATTGATCATTGTCCCCTTAGCCAGATCTCAAAAAAGCCCTTGGCCATTCCTGAAGCATCAAACACAAGAGGAGTCACGGAAGTCAGAATGCAAAGAGACAGTGGGTTTAAATATTTTACTTTAGATACTTTTACAGAAACTTTGGACCAGGTGAATATACTGCTAGGGCTCTTCCAAAGGCCTTGGAAGGACCTGTGTACGGGAGAGCTCTGAAACAAGCTTCATTAATTTACGGTAAACCTGCTTTTAGTTACAGGGGACTTGAAAAATCAGCACATCCTTTGGTTTTGTTGCTGTTGTTGTTGTTTTAAGATTTTATTTTATTTGACAGAAAGAAACAGAGAGAGAGGGAACACAAGCAGGGGGAGTGGGAGAGGGAGAAGCAGGTTTCCTGCCGAGCAGGGAGCCCGATGCGGGGCTCGATTCCAGGACCCTGGGACCATGACCTGAGCCGAAGGCAGACGCTTAACGACTGAGCCACCCAGGCGCCCCTCTGCACATCCTTTGTATCAAACATTTAAACCTCTCCCTACTTGAGCCATCAAGAACCGTCTTGCAGGTAGTTGCTATTAGCGAGCTTAAAAAGATTAGGGAATACAACTTCCCTTTAATTACTCATTATGGGAAGTGAGTTCCAGACATTCACTGGAACAAGAGGTCAAACTTTGCCATGCAGGCTAATCACCTGAATGGCTTGTTAAACTGCCCGTTTGGACTCAGAAGGGAGTCAGAAGGGAGGCATTTCTAATAAGCCTCCTGGGCTGCAGCTGTCTGTAGACATTTGAAATAGCAAGAGTCTAGGACACTTTTTTGCACAGTTTTATTGAGATATAACTGACGTCCAACAAACTGCAAATACTCAAAGTTTACAACGCGATGTGTTTTGACATGCACACCTACCTGTAAGACCATTAACCACGATCAAGATAACATATCTATCACTCTTCCTAAACTTTTCAATAGACTTTTGTTCTAATGTCCTTGTCACAATAGAATCTGACTTGTATAAAACAATTCAGAGAAACCACCTGTATTTCCCATATTTCTCTCTTTTATATGTGGAGGCACAGAGAGTTAGCAAAATGGTATATTTTCCAAAACCTTTCAAATATCTTCCCCGCGTCTGTTCCTATACAAAAGAGGGCACACTTCTTTTCTTCTTTTTTTAAAGATTTTTAAGTAATCTCTACACCCAATGTGGGGCTCAAACCTACAACCCCGAGATCAAGAGTTGCATGCTCTACCAACTGAACCAGCCAGGCGCCCTGAGGGTACTTCTCTCTCTCTCTCTTTTTAAGATTTATTTATTTGAGAAAGAGAGAGTATGAGTGGCAGGGTGGGGTGGGGGGGGGCAGAGGGAGAGGGAAAAGCAGGCTCCCCATTGAGCAGGGAGCCCAATGCGGGGCTTGATCCCAGGACCCAAGGGTACTTTCCAACCAACCAACCAACTTTGCCGTGTGAATTTCAGTTAAGCTCCATTCATTCAAACACTCGCCAAGTAAGTATTACCATTTTTGAAATGCTTTCTCAAGTTTCCTCCCTAAATCTTAGGGAGGAAACTGTTCCCTCCACATTATGTTCATCTTCTCTGTGAAATATTATTAGATTTCCAGACAGAGACTGAGTTCAATTTCTGGCTTTCTCTGGTGATAATCAGTACTCAGTACATGTTGCCATTAGTCTCAGTAAAGCAGACCACGATAGTAGTGATGATTATTTTGTGCTCCTTGACTGCAAGCATCTGGAGGGCAAAGGCTACGGCCTCTGATCTCCTGCAGTCCCTAACAGAGGATGGGGAAAGGGGCAGGCGCTCAGAATGTTTCACTGAGTGGATGAATTAAGGCCCAATTCCATCTGTTCCATACAATACCAATTCAGTTCAACGTACAGTTAAGGAGTGACTCCTGCACCACACGCTGGGGGAAATACAAAGGTGAGGGGCTGTGTTTGGTGTCTAAACCCAAGGAGTTGTGGTCCAGTAGGTGGGATCAGTGAGAAGCACTGTATTAGGGCTGGATTCCAACTTGGTGACCTTGGGCACGTGACTTCACTTCTGCCGCCTGCCCTGTACATTGGGGATAATAATAGCACCCACCTCTTGGGCTGCTGAGAAGACAGGATGTGTGAATACATGTAAAGCACTAAGGAAAGGACCCACCTGGCACACACCAAGCTTTTCAGAAATTCGGGCCACTGCTGTGTGCCACATTTCATTAAAATGCCGAGGAGACGCTGCTCTCGGGAGGCTCATAGGAGAAAGTCGGCCAACATGTGGTCTTTGCCTTGGCTTGCAAGAGGGGGCACCTGCAGTGAACTGGTGGTTGGCCTTTTAAGATGTGGGCCTGGTGTTGGCGCTGGACAACAGTGAGCTGGAGGCTGCCTCCTTGAGAAGGGACGTGTGGTCTCAAGTTTGCCACAATCCCCCCGGCCCCACCCCGTTGTGACGGACACCGTCCTTGCTATTTATCCTGGGCCCGTAGGAGATGCCAGGGATCATTTTAGGCCAACACTATCTATTTCTAGTGCTACCTGCCTGGCCACTGCAGGCTTTTGTGTTCGTGACTCCTTAAGATAGGAGAAGATGGTATCCTGCCTGGAAGTTT